CTGTCATTACTGTATACTCCTCCCCTTATTGTTACGTCTCATTTTACCCCAGCGTCACATTCACTCACACCCTACGTGCGATTGGCTGTCATTACTGTATACTCCTCCCCTTATTGTTACGTCTCATTTTACCCCAGCGTCACATTCACTCACACCCTACGTGCGATTGGCTGTCATTACTGTATACTCCTCCCCTTATTGTTGCGTCTCATTTTACCCCAGCGTCACATTCACCCACACCCTACGTGCGATTGGCTGTCATTACTGTATATTTACCCTATTATTGTTGCGTCTCATCTGCGCCCGTCACACATTCATATGTGAATAAAGTGAGTTTCCTCCAATGGTATATGTTCTCTAACTTTGTTATAGATCTAATATATTTGAATTGTATTATATACTGAAATTTTTGAATAAGTTCTGTTCAAATTGGTCCACATCGAACAATAGCTATGATAAATACTCGTTTTACTTCACCTAAGTAATAAATAATTAGTTAAGTTAATTTGCAATTCGTTAGTGTTCATCAGATTTTTTCAAACAATGAAAATGTATTGAGTACTCATAAAAGTTGTAGAAATAACGCTGACACATATTCATCATCATAATAATCTGTTAGGTACACAAACAGTGCTTGAAGATATTATAAAAAATTGCTACTTTTTGATATTCCTATTATTAATAATATTCTGTCTTCTCATGCGTTACAAGTAATAAGGTAAAAAAATAGTGAAAGGTAGTTTTTGCTAAACGTTTCAGCTTAATACTTACACAAATGTGTAGGTACTTGTTCCATAGTAGTGCCAAAAGGTATATATTTGTTTTAGAGCAAGATCTCGATTATTCTTAACATAATACTTAATTACTAATGCCTTTTTTGTCTCGTAAATAAAAAAAAAAGTTCTTTGACCCATTTGTTGGAAATAATTTCCGATGTTGATAAATTAATTTTGTTTCAATGCAAAGGCTATTAGATTTTGTAGTTCAAAGTAGACTTGAATATAGCATGTATAGTGTACTTAATATTTGCCGATTTTAGGCTGTGATTACACAGATATTTAGTAATTGATTTGTGTTCGAAAATTTGCAGAGTGTTTTGAGAATTCTGATGTACGAATTACTTTTATTTTTTCCTTTATACTGTGGTAGACTTTGCGAGGTTGCTGTCTGATGTCCGACTAAGGTTAAAAAAAGTTTTTTGAGTTTTCATAACATTCCGCGAAATTCCAAAGCACTCTGCGTTAATAATATTCACTAGGTATTTACATATCTGTAGTTTTAAAGGACAATTGTTTTCTGTTTGTTCTTATTTTGAGAAGTTTTAGCTCTAGCGAAAGAAAACTGTTTATTTTAGTTTTGTATGTGAATAAAAAGGCGTTTTTATAGAAATGTACATTGTACATTGTGATAAAGTGAAATATAACATTTTTATTATTATATTTCAAACGTCTGTTTTTATAGAAGTATTAGAATTGCGTTAAATCCTTAATCCTTTTTTAAACATACGTACAAACGACGAAGAACAGTACCTATTTAAAATTGACTAGATATTAATCGACCTTCTTTTACATATTCAAAAGTTTAATTTAGGAATGTAAACATTTTGTTAAAAGTCACTTAATAATGTTTCAACGATGTATTCTGTCCGAAGTGCGGTAAACTGTTTGGCAATGTAGGGTAACATTTTGAAAAAATCATCGCAGTTCAAAAATTCATGCGTCAAAACTGAGTAATTAAACTCCTCGCGCCTAAGGGATTCGTAGATAATTTCAATTTTTTGTCGTAAACTTTCGTGTCCCATGTTTTGTACTTTCGCATACCAGGGCAAAGCGGCGGTTAGAACGGTTATAATGAGTTCGAAGGGCAGCAAGTAAGCCAAGGGTGGTAAGTCAAACGATTCGTATCCGATTTCAATGTTAGAGAATTCCCTGGAAAAAATGGATCCACACGGGGGCAGACTGCACTCTTCCTCCTCGTCTTCTTCCTGTTTTCCAGTTATATCAGGTTCTTGGTCATATTCTGAAACATCCTGTTCCCCACTGACGATCTCTTCGATGACCACGCTGTCGCACACGTGCACGGTTTCGTCAATCATCTGATCCAAAACACTTTCGGCAGCCCTCGTGGCTATATCACGTTCAATTTGTCGATTCATACACATTTCCTCTGCTTCTTGCCTTTTCCGTTCCCAGTCTGTAATAAAATTGTTACCCGTTTCCATGTCCCAACACACCAGTTTCCCCAAGCTCAGTGCCAACGCTTTCGCCATTCCGACGACGGGATTCAGATCTTTGCAAAACGCCAGGAGCATCGCAGTGTAATTGAGCGTGTCGTCGTTTATTTTGTACAGCCGAAAGAGGAGATCTTTGATCAAAGCGAGACGTAGCTGTTCCTCGTTGTCGTCGGGATCGGTATCCTTTTCGAACCAGAAGGTGATGCCGTTGAATTGATAGTCTTTCACTGTTTCTATGTCGTCAGGATCGTGAGATCTAAATTCGCTTCGCACGTCCATCAACTCCGTTTCGGTAGGGAATGGAACATCCATGCTCAGCACAACAAAGTCTTTCCAGTTGACGAACTCGACATTTCCGAAAATCTCTTGCATCATTTGTTCAACCTAACAACGAAATGAAATGTACGTGCGATACCTGAGAGTTAAGCTACTAAATTTGTACCTGTTTGGATGTGAGCTTCTTCCACAAAGGCGGTACCATGGGCTTTTTTCCGTCTTCAGCGTTTAGACAGATCGCGTCTTGTATGATGTAAAGGAAAGTCCTTTCTGGCATCGTTCCGTCTGGCGCCACATCGAAAAAGATATCGACCAGTACGTTTAGTTCTGTAATTTTGAAAATAGCTGCGTAGTTTTTTTCAGTTAGCGGTGGTTCAGGTTCGGGCAGGGGATCAGGGAAAAGTAAAGAGTAGGGGTCTATGTAAAAAGTATCCCCTCGAAACTGCAACAGGGGTTGAATTCGTATTTCGGCTTCTACAGCTCTCGCAAAGAATTCGCAAGCCTTGTTGATACTTTCCACTTCGTTGTTGTACTTTTGCACTATTTCGTCGTAAAGTCCGTCGAAGAAATCAGTAGAATTACCGAGGTAGGCTCCGATTTTCCTTTTGGCCGCCATGAAAATTAATTCCAGACGGAAATTGACTCTGGCCATTTCAGCATCAATAACGGCAGGCCATTCTTCCAAAATTCGTTCGCCGGCATTTTTAACTTCTTCGTCTGGTTCCGTGAATTTTGGCAATTTTCCACCCCCTCCAGCACCTCCCTTCCCACCTTTAGGTTTGTCCGATCCTTTACCTTTAGATTTTTGTGATCCTTTACCCTTTTTCAGACAGCCGGAGAGTTTCGAAAAGGCCGATGCGGCGTATGCCGCATATTTGTTCACATGTCCTAAGGCGGAAGTTACGGACCCCTCCAAGAAATCAAGTATGGGATTTGTGAGTTGCGCTGTCTGCGAATCGACGTTGAAATCCTTCAAAATGAAGTCGTACAAAATTTTATCTGTAATTCTTATCTAATACTTGCTTATCATCTTTATCAAAGCCCAAGTATTTATTATTATTTATAATCTTATACATTATTTGGTGTGAATTGATTGATTGATTTGATTAACAGATAAATAACTTTTCTCTGATAATTATTCTGTAATCACAAATATCAGTGCTTATCTACAAGTACCTCCTTTTGTGTTGCCTCAATTTACTTAAATAAGTTTTCGGCATAAATATTTATAATATAAATATCCTTTTACAGTCGTTTCATAGCCATAATCTAGAGAATGGAAATGTATAATATTAAAGTGAAAGGCATTAACATTACTCTGTTACAATGTTGAAACAATTACTAAACAATATTGCCCAATTTAGTTTTTAAAATTATATCAATTATAAATAATATGACTTAGGGGCGGAGTTTAATAATGAATGCATCAGTATCATGTAACAATGATATCTCCTAATTCATTAATTATTTAGTTAATTGGGTATGACTTTATGATGTCAATAATTACCATAAAATTGGAGCACATCTGCAAAACACGACTATGTTAAATCTCTATCTTTATGGTCTAATTAACCCTAATAACTCGAGTTTTACACACCTAAATTTGTATAGAATTAACCGATAAATGTATTACTATTTACATTTTGCGTCGCCTTTAATTTGTACAGTTGTGAACGAAAAAAATAGGAGACATTAAATATTTAATAGGTATATTCCCTATATCTATTTGGGTCAAATTGGTCGTTCAATCAAAAAACGTTTAACTGAACATTTCTGATAGGTACAAATAACTTTACATTGCTGCACATTCAAAATAAAAGTACAAGACTGGATCTGTTAAATATTCTTGCAATTAAGTACGAGTACAATTAACAAAAATGCAACTCTATTGAACGACCAAACACACTTTGGGATTTCCCCTTATTAAAAGCAGTCTCTTGATAATTACGTAATAGTAATTTTTTTTCTAAAATGAAATTAATATAATATAACTAAATATTGCGTAGTTTGCAATGTTAAAATGCAAGAAATTAAGGCCTCTTCAACTCGATTTTTAAAATCATATACTAACAATGTTTTCTAAAAATTAAATAGTACGATATTCTTTAAAATTTTCGTGGAAATGCTANTTATTTATGATTATTTAATATCCATAAGATTTATTCACTTTTGCGTTGAATTATGATAAGCGAATTACCGTTCGTGGAGTTTACGTGTTCCTTTTTATAATTACACTTCAATAATAAATTACTTCGGCTTGTAAGAATGACTATTTTTGCATACAATTTACGCGATAGTTTGTGATATTCACTTTTAACGTAGTTATTAACCCAAAATGGTTCATTTCACTTTAAAGCATCATAACTAAATGAATAATAATTTTTGTTTATGGTAATAGGTGACAGAAATAAAAACATTTGAAAAGCAGATGAAGTTACATACATATAATAATTGTAACTATATTAGATTTTTGTTTGTTCTATTTGCAGTGAACAAACCTAACGAAATTTAGTACCTCATGCAGAATTGCTGTTCCTGGACCACCCTGTACAAGGGCTTTTTTGCCATAGTTTGTGCTTTGTTAGTTGTCGAGTACTTTTTTGGTTCCACATTCGAAACTAGAAAATGGGAAACATATTTACTGAACACTACCAGGTAAGTGGTCATTTTGATCATTTTCGCAGGTGCAATTTATGTTTTCCTTTTTTTAATATTGCTTATTTACTTGCATATTCATATTTTTTATAACTCCTTGTTTATTTTTGTGTGATATATTAAAAAAGAAACATAGTGACCCCTCAGTTTATTGGGTATAGATTGCTTTATTATTTACACGAAAGTGTTTGTACCAATTTTCCTGTACCATACACTATTTTTATGTTTGGTTCTTAGCTCGCCACTAGTGTATATTGTGGGTACACATATGTAATATAAATATCTTTTGTTTCGGCCTGTTACTGTCAATCTTAAAGCACTGTAATAGTAGACAGTTCTAATTCCGTACTAATTTGGCAAAAACCTTGGTTTTAGACTATTGTTGCGCCTGATTTATTTTTACTATTCCTTACGATTGGTAGTTAATTTGTTTTTTCATGGTCTGATGGTCATTAAAATGTATTTTAATCCATTGGTTTTTTCGTTTTCTAATAGGTTCCCTGATATCAATTAGTCGTAAACTAACAAAACAACCCCCCCATTTCCCATTTCTCGTCCCCACGATAAAATCATTTCTTTTTTCTAGAATACCAACGTCTGTAAAGGTAACTGGTCAACATAGTTTTCATAAGCCGTCGTCGATAATGAATAATTCGACAACGGCTTACCTTGTTCCGATAAATTCGACAAAAACATCGACATTTCAACATCAGAATGGTGAGAATGTTGCCAACACCTTGTTTCGTTTGTCAAAAATGATTTCTAACGCAAACAGAACAACCAATTCGCCTTCTAGTCATAGCAATTCTAATCCCATTTTAGACTTGAGGGAATCAGTAGAAAAGAATAATTCTTCTGAATTACCACCGTGCCCTGACCCACCCCCAAATTTACGTAAGTGTAATAAAATCTTCTCGGTGTTCTAGCGTATTTGTTGAGTCTATTTCCCCCAAAATATCCTTACATTAAACCTTCTTGGCTAGTAGCTCATCCGTTTTCATTTTAATTCTTAATTATCGTTAAACATCAGCCTAAATTCCTTATTAAATTAATAATTTGTTTCAATGATTAAAAAAACAATATAAATACTCTACTTGTAATTGCATTTTTCCATTGTATTTTGGCTGTTAATAACATTTTTATTGGTTACGAAACGAAATAAGCAACAGAACTTGCGTTGTGTTCAATTAACTAGAAAAACGACTATCATTGCAAAAATTCGGGTACGAATAGCGACTGGGTACATACAGGCGTGGAATTCAGGCCAACTCGATACGCTAGAGCTGCACCGCTTCATACCGGGGTCGGTGAAAAAGTTGCGACTCCAACGTCGGTTTCTTTTCAGAGGGTAGAATAAAAGTTCGTACAAAAAATGCACCTTTGCCCCGAATTCTGGAAAGTCGACTGAGTTGGTTAAAATTGGGTGGTCATTGGAGCCCTACAACTTGTAAACCGCCCAATAAAGTAGCTATAGTAGTGCCCTACAGGTGCAGGGGCGAACATTTGCTTCTGTTTCTGCAACATATGCATCCTTTTTTAAAAAGACAATTATTGGATTACACCATCTTTGTTGTCGAACAGAATGGTTCGCAAGTTTTTAATAGGGCAATGTTGATGAATATTGGGTTCAAAGAAGCCCTGAAATTAGACAATTACGACTGTTTTATATTCCACGACGTAGATCTTTTGCCTGAAGATGACAGAAATTTGTACACATGCCCTAATCAGCCGAGACACATGAGCGTTGCCATTGATACTTTTCGATACAAGTGAGTCATTTGTTTTGTTTTAGCATGTGGTACTTTTTGCTAAAAAGGTGACGGCATTTTTTTTTGAGGTGTACTGTACCACGATTTTGTCAATGCATGAAAATAAATGCTATTTCAACTAATTATGTATAGCTAAATGCCCATTACGACAGAATTCAAGCTTTTAATGATTAACTTTACATGTTTTCAAAATTTTGACCCAAAATATTTATTAATTTTTTTGTTACTTAGTCCTTAAAGCTTTATAATATAAAAAGATTCACTTATGGTACACAAATGCTGGAAATTATCTTCAATAGTGTATAAAAAATACATTTATTTACAGTTTTGATACTTTTTCGTGTATCTTCAGTTTAATAACGTTTCTAATAATTATTCTTCATTACTTACGTACATTTTAAATGATCCACCATAGCCGCGCTTTTTAAGACGGTCCAAGTTCGGTACATTTAGGGGCGGACGGTATGTAGTTCGAAGAAGCGACCGCATAGAGGCGATTTTCGGTTTAGTTAATGTTCGTGTGCGCGTTTCGTGGTAGGTTATGCCTTTAAGTCCCTTTTTTTATGTGAAATATTATTGACAATAGTGATGAATGTGGATATTTGTGTAGTTTTGACTGTTAGTTGTTGTGATGATTGGTAATTTCTTGGATACATGTAGAAAAGTGGCGAAATAAGTCAGGCAAAGGTGAGCTGCATGTACCATCTTTTGAAAACCCATTGTTGCGTTTTTTGATAATGATTTTTCTATTTAATTATTTGCATATTCGAATAATAACTTTATGCGAACGTTGTTCGTCTATTTTGAATTGAATATGATTGTATGGGTCGATAAACATTTGTACGTACACGGTACAATAATACACAACACTTGCGACTAATGTGGCAGTAATTTTTAGATGATTGTAGAAAAGAAGCATTTTCTCTTTTATAAAATATTATATTATAGACGTACATAGGTCGTTTTTATTTATAATAGAGGTTATATAGCCGTCACCGTAGTCATTTACGATTACCCAAACTCAAAATACTAACAATGGTTGTTGGTATTTTTGTCATAGAATCCTGCGTATGTTCTACTAACTTTGAGATGCTTTTTATCTAGCTGTGTGTTATACAGGGTGTTTTCAGTAGACCGCTTACTATAACATACCGTTTTATTGTTGTGTGCTAATGTGTAAGTAACTATTCTTCTTCATTTTTGGAGTTGGTGTTTTAACCATAGAATTCTGTTGTATTTAGCTGCTTGCAATGTATCTAAAGGGGCTAATGACCTTTGCAGGTTACCATATCAGTTTATTTTTGGGGGGGTGGGTGCCATTTCAACAAAACACTTCACTCAGTTGAACGGGTTTTCGAATTCTTTTTGGGGATGGGGTGGTGAGGACGACGATTTTTCAAACAGAATTCGATTTCACAAACTTCATATCTCAAGATATCCAATATTCATCGCTAGATATACCATGTTATCCCATAAACGTGATAAACCGAATCCAAAAAGGTAAGCAAAAACAACAAGAAGTGGGTGATGCAGAAATAAGGGAATAATTTTTAGATACGACATTTTGTCATCTGGTATGAAAAAATTCGACACCGATGGTTTAAATTCCTTGAAATATAGTGTCGTTACGTTGAGGCAGAATCTGTTATATACGTGGGTATTGGTTGATATTAAACCTCCCAGCTGATTTAGGTCTGTTTTTTTATCAGTATGGAACTTTTTTTTAAAACGTCCTTAGTAATATCTCTACTAGTCAATCGAAAAACGATGAAAATACCTGTAATAAATATGACCTCTTGCAAAAAGAAGCTCATCTGTTTGACTCGTACTTAAATATTTGATAAAATTAAAACGTTAAAAGGAACAATAATATTATATGATAATAGAGGTGATATTAAATAAAATAACAAAGCCAACTGTGAAAATGACTGTTTAGTACTATTCAGTGTTTAAGAGAAACTTGTGATAGTTTTGACTACTAATAAAAATCTCAGAGCGTATACTACTTGAGATAGCTTGCTGTCTGTGAAACATGTGACTGCTGCAGAGTGAGAGACCAAAGCCAATATAAGTGATTCACACCCTGCGTATGATTGACTGTCATTACTGTATACTCCTCTCCTTATTGTTACGTCTCATTTTACCCCAGCGTCACATTCACTCACACCCTACCTGCGATTGGCTGTCATTACTGTATACTCCTCCCCTTATTGTTACGTCTCATTTTACCCCAGCGTCACATTCACTCACACCCTACGTGCGACTGGCTGTCATTACTGTATACTCCTCCCCTTATTGTTACGTCTCATTTTACCCCAGCGTCACATTCACTCACACCCTACGTGCGATTGGCTGTCATTACTGTATACTCCTCCCCTTATTGTNCAAGAAATCAAATATGGGATTTGTGAGTTGCGCTGTCTGCGAATCGACGTTGAAATCCTTCAAAATGAAGTCGTACAATGCGCAAACCGTTTCGCTGGGCATTTCGATATCTCCAGTCTCAATTTTTTCTAAGATCTCTTTAGTCGGAAACGGTTCTTCGTAGGGCATCTTAGTAATCACTCCCGTATAATAATCAGTTATAAGAAACAAAGTGTCTGCGCACCTATCCATTTCCAATTGCATGAAATTGACGTAAACGTTACCGAGTTCGCAAGCCTCCATTCCCTCCCAATAATTGGTCATCATTTTTCGTCTTTCTTCTTCCGCTTCGATCTAAATAATTAGTTAAGTTAATTTGCAATTCGTTAGTGTTCATCAGATTTTTTCAAACAATGAAAATGTATTGAGTACTCATAAAAGTTGTAGAAATAACGCTGACACATATTCATCATCATAATAATCTGTTAGGTACACAAACAGTGCTTGAAGATATTATAAAAAATTGCTACTTTTTGATATTCCTATTATTAATAATATTCTGTCTTCTCATGCGTTACAAGTAATAAGGTAAAAAAATAGTGAAAGGTAGTTTTTGCTAAACGTTTCAGCTTAATACTTACACAAATGTGTAGGTACTTGTTCCATAGTAGTGCCAAAAGGTATATATTTGTTTTAGAGCAAGATCTCGATTATTCTTAACATAATACTTAATTACTAATGCCTTTTTTGTCTCGTAAATAAAAAAAAAAGTTCTTTGACCCATTTTATAAATTGTTGGAAATAATTTCCGATGTTGATAAATTAATTTTGTTTCAATGCAAAGGCTATTAGATTTTGTAGTTCAAAGTAGACTTGAATATAGCATGTATAGTGTACTTAATATTTGCCGATTTTAGGCTGTGATTACACAGATATTTAGTAATTGATTTGTGTTCGAAAATTTGCAGAGTGTTTTGAGAATTCTGATGTACGAATTACTTTTATTTTTTCCTTTATACTGTGGTAGACTTTGCGAGGTTGCTGTCTGATGTCCGACTAAGGTTAAAAAAAGTTTTTTGAGTTTTCATAACATTCCGCGAAATTCCAAAGCACTCTGCGTTAATAATATTCACTAGGTATTTACATATCTGTAGTTTTAAAGGACAATTGTTTTCTGTTTGTTCTTATTTTGAGAAGTTTTAGCTCTAGCGAAAGAAAACTGTTTATTTTAGTTTTGTATGTGAATAAAAAGGCGTTTTTATAGAAATGTACATTGTACATTGTGATAAAGTGAAATATAACATTTTTATTATTATATTTCAAACGTCTGTTTTTATAGAAGTATTAGAATTGCGTTAAATCCTTAATCCTTTTTTAAACATACGTACAAACGACGAAGAACAGTACCTATTTAAAATTGACTAGATATTAATCGACCTTCTTTTACATATTCAAAAGTTTAATTTAGGAATGTAAACATTTTGTTAAAAGTCACTTAATAATGTTTCAACGATGTATTCTGTCCGAAGTGCGGTAAACTGTTTGGCAATGTAGGGTAACATTTTGAAAAAATCATCGCAGTTCAAAAATTCATGCGTCAAAACTGAGTAATTAAACTCCTCGCGCCTAAGGGATTCGTAGATAATTTCAATTTTTTGTCGTAAACTTTCGTGTCCCATGTTTTGTACTTTCGCGTACCAGGGCAAAGCGGCGGTTAGAACGGTTATAATGAGTTCGAAGGGCAGCAAGTAAGCCAAGGGTGGTAAGTCAAACGATTCGTAGCCGATTTCAATGTTAGAGAATTCCCTGGAAAAAATGGAACCACACGGGGGCAGACTGCACTCTTCCTCCTCGTCTTCTTCCTGTTTTCCAGTTATATCAGGTTCTTGGTCATATTCTGAAACATCCTGTTCCCCACTGACGATCTCTTCGATGACCACGCTGTCGCACACGTGCACGGTTTCGTCAATCATCTGATCCAAAACACTTTCGGCAGCCCTCGTGGCTATATCACGTTCAATTTGTCGATTCATACACATTTCCTCTGCTTCTTGCCTTTTCCGTTCCCAGTCTGTAATAAAATTGTTACCCGTTTCCATGTCCCAACACACCAGTTTCCCCAAGCTCAGTGCCAACGCTTTCGCCATTCCGACGACGGGATTCAGATCTTTGCAAAACGCCAGGAGCATCGCAGTGTAATTGAGCGTGTCGTCGTTTATTTTGTACAGCCGAAAGAGGAGATCTTTGATCAAAGCGAGACGTAGCTGTTCCTCGTTGTCGTCGGGATCGGTATCCTTTTCGAACCAGAAGGTGATGCCGTTGAATTGATAGTCTTTCACTGTTTCTATGTCGTCAGGATCGTGAGATCTAAATTCGCTTCGCACGTCCATCAACTCCGTTTCGGTAGGGAATGGAACATCCATGCTCAGCACAACAAAGTCTTTCCAGTTGACGAACTCGACATTTCCGAAAATCTCTTGCATCATTTGTTCAACCTAACAACGAAATGAAATGTACGTGCGATACCTGAGAGTTAAGCTACTAAATTTGTACCTGTTTGGATGTGAGCTTCTTCCACAAAGGCGGTACCATGGGCTTTCTTCCGTCTTCAGCGTTTAGACAGATCGCGTCTTGTATGATGTAAAGGAAAGTCCTTTCTGGCATCGTTCCGTCTGGCGCTACATCGAAAAAGATATCGACCAGTACGTTTAGTTCCGTAATTTTGAAAATAGCTGCGTAGTTTTTTTCAGTTAGCGGTGGTTCAGGTTCGGGCAGGGGATCAGGGAAAAGTAAAGAGTAGGGGTCTATGTAAAAAGTATCCCCTCGAAACTGCAACAGGGGTTGAATTCGTATTTCGGCTTCTACAGCTCTCGCAAAGAATTCGCAAGCCTTGTTGATACTTTCCACTTCGTTGTTGTACTTTTGCACTATTTCGTCGTAAAGTCCGTCGAAGAAATCAGTAGAATTACCGAGGTAGGCTCCGATTTTCCTTTTGGCCGCCATGAAAATTAATTCCAGACGGAAATTGACTCTGGCCATTTCAGCATCAATAACGGCAGGCCATTCTTCCAAAATTCGTTCGCCGGCATTTTTAACTTCTTCGTCTGGTTCCGTGAATTTTGGCAATTTTCCACCCCCTCCAGCACCTCCCTTCCCACCTTTAGGTTTGTCCGATCCTTTACCTTTAGATTTTTGTGATCCTTTACCCTTTTTCAGACAGCCGGAGAGTTTCGAAAAGGCCGATGCGGCGTATGCCGCATATTTGTTCACATGTCCTAAGGCGGAAGTTACGGACCCCTCCAAGAAATCAAGTATGGGATTTGTNCGTGCGATTGGCTGTCATTACTGTATACTCCTCCCCTTATTGTTACGTCTCATTTTACCCCAGCGTCACATTCACTCACACCCTACGTGCGATTGGCTGTCATTACTGTATACTCCTCCCCTTATTGTTGCGTCTCATTTTACCCCAGCGTCACATTCACCCACACCCTACGTGCGATTGGCTGTCATTACTGTATATTTACCCTATTATTGTTGCGTCTCATCTGCGCCCGTCACACATTCATATGTGAATAAAGTGAGTTTCCTCCAATGGTATATGTTCTCTAACTTTGTTATAGATCTAATATATTTGAATTGTATTATATACTGAAATTTTTGAATAAGTTCTGTTCAAATTGGTCCACATCGAACAATAGCTATGATAAATACTCGTTTTACTTCACCTAAGTAATAAATAATTAGTTAAGTTAATTTGCAATTCGTTAGTGTTCATCAGATTTTTTCAAACAATGAAAATGTATTGAGTACTCATAAAAGTTGTAGAAATAACGCTGACACATATTCATCATCATAATAATCTGTTAGGTACACAAACAGTGCTTGAAGATATTATAAAAAATTGCTACTTTTTGATATTCCTATTATTAATAATATTCTGTCTTCTCATGCGTTACAAGTAATAAGGTAAAAAAATAGTGAAAGGTAGTTTTTGCTAAACGTTTCAGCTTAATACTTACACAAATGTGTAGGTACTTGTTCCATAGTAGTGCCAAAAGGTATATATTTGTTTTAGAGCAAGATCTCGATTATTCTTAACATAATACTTAATTACTAATGCCTTTTTTGTCTCGTAAATAAAAAAAAAAGTTCTTTGACCCATTTGTTGGAAATAATTTCCGATGTTGATAAATTAATTTTGTTTCAATGCAAAGGCTATTAGATTTTGTAGTTCAAAGTAGACTTGAATATAGCATGTATAGTGTACTTAATATTTGCCGATTTTAGGCTGTGATTACACAGATATTTAGTAATTGATTTGTGTTCGAAAATTTGCAGAGTGTTTTGAGAATTCTGATGTACGAATTACTTTTATTTTTTCCTTTATACTGTGGTAGACTTTGCGAGGTTGCTGTCTGATGTCCGACTAAGGTTAAAAAAAGTTTTTTGAGTTTTCATAACATTCCGCGAAATTCCAAAGCACTCTGCGTTAATAATATTCACTAGGTATTTACATATCTGTAGTTTTAAAGGACAATTGTTTTCTGTTTGTTCTTATTTTGAGAAGTTTTAGCTCTAGCGAAAGAAAACTGTTTATTTTAGTTTTGTATGTGAATAAAAAGGCGTTTTTATAGAAATGTACATTGTACATTGTGATAAAGTGAAATATAACATTTTTATTATTATATTTCAAACGTCTGTTTTTATAGAAGTATTAGAATTGCGTTAAATCCTTAATCCTTTTTTAAACATACGTACAAACGACGAAGAACAGTACCTATTTAAAATTGACTAGATATTAATCGACCTTCTTTTACATATTCAAAAGTTTAATTTAGGAATGTAAACATTTTGTTAAAAGTCACTTAATAATGTTTCAACGATGTATTCTGTCCGAAGTGCGGTAAACTGTTTGGCAATGTAGGGTAACATTTTGAAAAAATCATCGCAGTTCAAAAATTCATGCGTCAAAACTGAGTAATTAAACTCCTCGCGCCTAAGGGATTCGTAGATAATTTCAATTTTTTGTCGTAAACTTTCGTGTCCCATGTTTTGTACTTTCGCGTACCAGGGCAAAGCGGCGGTTAGAACGGTTATAATGAGTTCGAAGGGCAGCAAGTAAGCCAAGGGTGGTAAGTCAAACGATTCGTATCCGATTTCAATGTTAGAGAATTCCCTGGAAAAAATGGATCCACACGGGGGCAGACTGCACTCTTCCTCCTCGTCTTCTTCCTGTTTTCCAGTTATATCAGGTTCTTGGTCATATTCTGAAACATCCTGTTCCCCACTGACGATCTCTTCGATGACCACGCTGTCGCACACGTGCACGGTTTCGTCAATCATCTGATCCAAAACACTTTCGGCAGCCCTCGTGGCTATATCACGTTCAATTTGTCGATTCATACACATTTCCTCTGCTTCTTGCCTTTTCCGTTCCCAGTCTGTAATAAAATTGTTACCCGTTTCCATGTCCCAACACACCAGTTTCCCCAAGCTCAGTGCCAACGCTTTCGCCATTCCGACGACGGGATTCAGATCTTTGCAAAACGCCAGGAGCATCGCAGTGTAATTGAGCGTGTCGTCGTTTATTTTGTACAGCCGAAAGAGGAGATCTTTGATCAAAGCGAGACGTAGTTGTTCCTCGTTGTCGTCGGGATCGGTATCCTTTTCGAACCAGAAGGTGATGCCGTTGAATTGATAGTCTTTCACTGTTTCTATGTCGTCAGGATCGTGAGATCTAAATTCGCTTCGCACGTCCATCAACTCCGTTTCGGTAGGGAATGGAACATCCATGCTCAGCACAACAAAGTCTTTCCAGTTGACGAACTCGACATTTCCGAAAATCTCTTGCATCATTTGTTCAACCTAACAACGAAATGAAATGTACGTGCGATACCTGAGAGTTAAGCTACTAAATTTGTACCTGTTTGGATGTGAGCTTCTTCCACAAAGGCGGTACCATGGGCTTTCTTCCGTCTTCAGCGTTTAGACAGATCGCGTCTTGTATGATGTAAAGGAAAGTCCTTTCTGGCATCGTTCCGTCTGGCGCTACATCGAAAAAGATATCGACCAGTACGTTTAGTTCTGTAATTTTGAAAATAGCTGCGTAGTTTTTTTCAGTTAGCGGTGGTTCAGGTTCGGGCAGGGGATCAGGGAAAAGTAAAGAGTAGGGGTCTATGTAAAAAGTATCCCCTCGAAACTGCAACAGGGGTTGAATTCGTATTTCGGCTTCTACAGCTCTCGCAAAGAATTCGCAAGCCTTGTTGATACTTTCCACTTCGTTGTTGTACTTTTGCACTATTTCGTCGTAAAGTCCGTCGAAGAAATCAGTAGAATTACCGAGGTAGGCTCCGATTTTCCTTTTGGCCGCCATGAAAATTAATTCCAGACGGAAATTGACTCTGGCCATTTCAGCATCAATAACGGCAGGCCATTCTTCCAAAATTCGTTCGCCGGCATTTTTAACTTCTTCGTCTGGTTCCGTGAATTTTGGCAATTTTCCACCCCCTCCAGCACCTCCCTTCCCACCTTTAGGTTTGTCCGATCCTTTACCTTTAGATTTTTGTGATCCTTTACCCTTTTTCAGACAGCCGGAGAGTTTCGAAAAGGCCGATGCGGCGTATGCCGCATATTTGTTCACATGTCCTAAGGCGGAAGTTACGGACCCCTCCAAGAAATCAAGTATGGGATTTGTGAGTTGCGCTGTCTGCGAATCGACGTTGAAATCCTTCAAAATGAAGTCGTACAATGCGCAAACCGTTTCGCTGGGCATTTCGATATCTCCAGTCTCAATTTTTTCTAAGATCTCTTTAGTCGGAAACGGTTCTTCGTAGGGCATCTTAGTAATCACTCCCGTATAATAATCAGTTATAAGAAACAAAGTGTCTGCGCACCTATCCATTTCCAATTGCATGAAATTGACGTAAACGTTACCGAGTTCGCAAGCCTCCATTCCCTCCCAATAATTGGTCATCATTTTTCGTCTTTCTTCTTCCGCTTCGATCATTCGCCTGTCGGATATTTCCAGTAGTTTCTCGCGAAATTCGGCTATTCTGCAATGCAGTTCCGCCTTCACTTCGTCGTCCTCTCTCATATCCTGCTCAAACTCGTTGAACATTTGTTGAAATTTATACAAATAGATTGGTCTCATGTCAGGTCTGGTAAGAAAGGTACGGAGATTTTGCCGCAAAAATGTGAAATATGGCCAGACGGCGTTCAGTATCATCCTTTGGAAAAAGAACAATTGCTGAAAGTCGTCTACGTAGATTTCTTCAGCGGTCATCCATAAAGTAGCCAAAGCTACTTTCAGTTTATGAGGGAATTCTATTGTGACGTAGTTCCATTCGAACTCGCCAGGTTTTGGAGGAGGCGGTGGTTCCTCATAAATTACTATGACATCAGGTTCTATTTCTGGAACTTGTATTTCTTTATCTTCCATTGCTACAGCTTTTATGACTGCGTCTGGGCCTTTTTTGCCACCCTTGGCTTTCTTATCGCCTGCGCCTTTTTTCTTATCTTTTTTGTCTTCTTTCGGTGGTGGTTTCTTTTCGACCTTTTTAGGTTTTTCCTCTTTTTTGCCCTTCTTTTGAGATTTAGCGCCCTTGCCAGGCTTCGCGGCCTGTTTTAATTCGTCTTCAATGTATAAAACCGTGTCTCCGAATATTTCGACGGACGCTTTTGGCGGAATCGTGAAATCACCGACAATCAAACGGCCCAAGTGTTTGATGGTAGTGAAGTCTAGGTTTTTAAATGTCATGGTATAATAGCATCCTTGTTTGGCATAGAATGCTTCTATGTTAGACATTTTTTTCTCTTCAAATGGATCGTCGGGATCGAATTCATCCTCTTTGTTCTCTTCCTCCTGCTTGAACGGGATCATCTTGATGAATGCAGTTAGGAATGTTTCGTAAAATATTTCTTCGATGGGACGATCGGGTTTCGGTACAATCCGAGATTTCCATTCCTTTTGAATGGTAGCACAACCAGGTATCCTGTTTTCTATATTCGCAAAATCGGACAGTTCTTCGGATTGTTCGTCAGGATTTTGCATATTTTTCACAGGTACTGGCGTCGCTGTTAGGGCTTCCTCCAAACAGGTGGCTTCGTTAAAGTCAATCGGATAATTTACTATAACCCAACCTTTTATATTTTTAAGTGTCAGAAGGTATTCGGTAATCATGTCTGCAATAATGCGATCTGGTATCGGATCTCCTAAACTGAGAATCTCGTGAGCCATGAGACCCAGTTCCGCTTTTCTGCTAAACTGAAATTGCTCACATGGATATATTTTTGGGGTTTGTAGCGCCTTTGTAACAACAGCTGGTTCGTTGCTCGTTTGTGGGACAGGTTGTTGAGCAGCAGCATTTCCCTTTTTCTTGTCCTTTTTAGCATTAGAGGCTTTCGATTTTTCTCCTTTTTTCTTTGCATCGATTAAGGTGCCCGCTTTTTGCTGCAAACCACGTTCTGTTTCGTCGGTTAGCGTATCGGTTGCAACGTTGTCCGTAGCTTCTTCCTTGTACGCTTGCAAACAAAAGTCGATCACTTCCTGAATTTCGATCACTCTGATGTTATTTTGCTGTAGGAGACGCTTAAGAGTTGGTAAAACCGTGTCGGGCTTCGGGATGTCGACGACACATGCTGCAGGTCTTGCTTTGATAATGTCCGGTGGTTTTTTATTTATCGGTGGAGACGTAAACGACATGGAAAGCCAGTGGACAATATGGCCCAAAACGTTCATTCCCAATTCAATTTTGTCGAGCTTCTCCTGAAATATTTCAGCATAATCATCGTAATCGTCGTATAAAAAGCTTAATTCCCACGGCCACTTTTGAACGTTATAGTTTTCAAAATCTTTTTCGTCCAAGTAGCCCATTCGAATGGTTTCGTAAGTGTTTATTATTTCTGACGGTTCCTCTGTGAAATAATCTTGAAGGACATCGTCCACTTGTTCGAGGAGATCAAATATTGGTTGCTCTTTGACAAACAAACGGACCATGTCGTCTTTTAGTTCTTTGGGAACGTCAGTTTCGTGCTGTTCTTTGTACTCGCCGCATCGTATGGCAATGTCCGTTAGATCTCTGACGATTTCTCTGCAAAATTCCCAGTTTCTCTGTTTCTTTAGGCACTGCCTGATGGCGTATAATCGTCGATGTAGTTCCAGCATTCTCGCCTTTTCTTCGTAGTAACTGCGAATTAAATCGTCTGATTGTTTTTCTTCTAGGAAACCGCTGTATGTTATTTCGCTTTCTATTTTTTCCTGTGCCTTGCGTACAGCCTTCTTTTTGTTCTCTACGATTTGTGTTTTTTCTTCTCGAACGTCCATCATCTTCATCGCCATTTGCCTTTCGTACTTGGCTTGTTGCGTAAGCACCGTTCTTAAGGATTCGTTAATTTCTTTTTCTTGCTCAGATATAATTTTTTCCCATAGTTCTTGTAGCAAGAGTTTTTGCATTTGGACCTGTAAGGTCTTTTGGCGTTCTCTGTGTCTCCGTTTTTGTCGAATTTTGTTGATGAAAACATTCGATTTTCTGCAGTCGATTAAAGGGGGAGGCGTTTCTTGAAAATGCACTTGTTCTTCCATCAATTCTTCGTACGTTTTATTTTTAGGCGGTTCAATGGGGAGTTTTTTTATTTCTGTTAATTCGTCCTTTTTCTGGGTTAATGTTACTGTCATAGGGACTGTTGCTAAATGTTCTGCATCTGCTAAATTTTTCAGATGGAGTAGGTATTTTTCGCGTGCTTCCTTGAATTTTTCAAGCATGTTTTTATATTTGAACCTTTGCCATTCTATAACATCCTGTTGCTTCAAAAATTCTTCACAAACTTCCTCTTTCACTTCAACGTCAGGATATTCTTCTACCTTTTCAACTGTGAATCTACTCTGAGGAGGAGTTACCTTATTTGAAAATTTCTGCACAATAAAATGTAATCTATCTTTATCATTCAGGGCTAGATATAACTGATAAAATAACTTCACTGCGCTACTGTTATTTGACTCATAGACTAATTTATTGATTAAACGGTCTTCGAAGTCTATATTAACCGATTTTAACCATATTTTAATTCTTGAAAAGTTCTCTGCTGCCTTGTTAGGTTGTTCTGATGATTCAATGGAATCATACGTTTCTTTATCGATAATGCCATAGCTATAAATTAATTGCGCCAAAAGTTTTCCGTCTTTTATGTATTCAACAAGATTTTTCTCTTTTAAATCTAAAATTATTCCAGTTCGTTTTGCGATCCATTCCGTTATTATTTCACCCATTTTACTAAAACTTATAGGTAGAATCTATTTTGACAGTTTACGTTTGTCAAATCCGGATTTTTATGATTAAGCAAGTTATTTTAATAAGTTTTGTATAAAGTCCAAGAAAAATGTAAACCTAGCTTTAGAATTGGCTCAATAAACAATGCATTCGGAGACTACGATTAAACGTAAGAAGAAGAGAGGTTTGTCAAACTTTGTTAACATAACCTATCAAATTTGCTATGTTTAAAATGTTCAAAATGTGGCGTAATACGTCAAAAATTTGCTGTAATCTCATAACAAATTCATTAAAAAATAACTTAAGTCAAAAACAGTAAGTATACAAATGGTTTATTCCCTTAGAAACTAAATTTAGCATTTAAGTAACATAACCAATAGCTTGAAGAATAGTACAAATGGGGCCCAGATTTTACAAATACGTTCACTATTGACAACAAATCGGAGTTATATGTTTATTCAGACTCAGGAGACTCCAAATCCAAATAGTTTAAAGTTTTTACCGGGTCAGCAAGTTTTAGAGCCAGGTCAAACTATTGACTTCCCAAATGCTTCATCTGCACAATGCTCCCCATTAGCCAGGCTATTATTTCGAATACAGGGTGTAAAAAGCGTTTTTCTTGGGCCTGATTTTATCACAATTTCAAAAATTGATGATGACGTAGAGTGGAAGTTAATAAAACCAGAAGTTTTTGCAACTATCATGGATTTTTTTGTCAGTGGTTTGCCTGTGTTGAGTAATGCTACACCAAATCCCGACACACGTGAGTCAAATAGGTGATAGTATAAGAAAAGAGTTGTTATTGTTGTTTTTTGCATGATTAGAAATTCAAGAGGATGACAGTGAAATTGTGCAAATGATTAAGGAACTGTTGGACACTAGAATAAGGCCAACAGTTCAAGAAGATGGGGGTGATATTATTTTTAGAGGGTTTGAAGGTGGGATAGTTAAACTGAAGATGCAAGGTTCCTGTTCGAGTTGTCCCAGTTCAATTGTCACTCTCAAAAATGGTGTACAAAACATGTTGCAGTTTTATATTCCTGAAGTTGTGGCAGTAGAGCAAGTTAATGATCCAGAAGATGAAGTTGCCATCAAAGAATTTGCAAAACTTGAAAATACATTGAAAACAAAGGAATAATAAAAATATACAAGTTAATATAAACCAAGAAGTTGATTGTGATAATTTATTTGAAATGTATAACTAAGATTATTTTGTGTTTTCAGTAACTAATAAATTAAATAAAATATATATATATGGCGTCGCTGT